CGCCACCCCCCCCCCCTTTTTTTTTTGCTATAGGGTACACGCACTTGCCAGCTAGACAGAGAGACAGAAAGTGAAAAGTCATCCCTCACGGGGGATGGATACCCTTCTCCTTCATTCTCTTGAGATTCTGGGCACAAACACAGCAGCCCAATAAAAGTTTCAAGCCACTGGGTCCGGGACTTGAATCCTTGTCAAGTAAGTGTGACTCCAGCGATGCAACCAATACACCATCTGCTGGTCCCTATTATTACGATTATCTATTTATTTGACTAGAGAAGGAGAGAAAGGCAGAGAGAAGGTGGGAGAGTAAGTCGGCAGGTCTGAACCGGTCAGTCATGTGGGAGTCCCGTGTCTTTGCCATCATAGAGCCTGCTGGCGCCAGGCTGGGCTTTTTTCTCTCTCTCCAGGAAAAAAAAGATATTAATACATATAAACTATTTCATCCTTTTTTTAAAAAAATAATTACTTAATTAAATTTGACAGAGAGAGAGAAAGCAAACTGCCAGGTCTGGGACTCAAACCACAGTAACCAATGTGGGAGTTGCCTTTTAACCACCTCACCTGCCGGCTCCCAGGCTGGGGCTTTTCTTTCTTTCTTTTTTCTGGAGAGGGAGAGGTTTTTGCTATAGGGCACATGCACTTGCCAGACAGAGAGAGACAGAGAGACAGAAAGAGAGAGAGATCATCCCCTACGGGGGATGGTCACGCCACAATCCCTTCTCCTCCATTCTCCTCTCGGGATCTTGGGAATGCACGCACACGGCGTGAGTTTTAAGCCACCGGTCTGGGACACGAACCTCGGTCGACTACGTGGGAATCCAGCGACATAGCCATTACGCTAACTGGTGGTCCCAAGGCTGGGGCTTTTCAAGAACCAGATCAGGGACCAGCAGTTGGTGTAATGGCTCTGTCGCTGGACTCCTATGTAGTCGACCACAGTTCTTAAAACTCACAGGGTACATGTACATGCGTGCCCAAGATCCCGAGAGGAGAATGGAGGAGAAGGGACTGCGGCGTGGCCATCCCCCCTGGGGGGTGATCTCTCGCTTTCTGTCTTTCTTTCTGGCGAGTGCACTCTCCAAAGGAGCGAGGGTATGCTCTCATCACTCCCCCCCACCCTCCAACCCCCAGCGGAGCGAGCACCCCGGCCCCCTACAGGCTTTAGGGGAAATGCACTCCCGGGCTTGGACGTGGTGACCATTCAAGAAAAAGCAAGAAAACTCCAGAGACAGGGTCTAATTCGGGTCTCTGAGTTTTCCAGAACTCGCACCTCGAGGAGGCGAACCGTCCATAGGGCAGCCGCTGTCTGATTGCCGGCCGGGGGCGATTCCGTGCTCCCGGCCTCTCC